TTTCCTCTGCTCTTCCTCTCTGTCTCCTACTCCGAGCCTTTCCAATCTATAGATTGCCTGGGCCCACAGTCTGTCCCTTTCTTTTTCCTTTTCATTGTCTCTTTCTTTTCCAATCTTCTTTGCCCTTCCTAAGAGATGGAGACTGAGACCCGAACATTACATCTTTATGTGGCCCAGACTGTGTCACTAGACATGCATCTATGCCTGGGAAAATTCAGGTCATAAATTGTAACTTGAGGCTGTGGCTCCATTATGTCAACTGGTTGGCTTAATAAAATCAAGGGGAAGAATTAGTCAAGCTCTTAATGTTGCATTATTACCGACTTTATCAAGCAACATGGGGAGCTCTTCATCTAAAATTTGATAAGTTTTTATTAGCGTTGCCTTAAATCTAAGCCACTGCATATCAGGATCACCCCCATAGTTTGTCATTGCTGCTGTTTTTAAAAAATTTCCATGTATGGGCTTCATCTCATGATAAATACATCTCTGGAGATGGAGTCTGGGCACAGGTAGATCTTAAAAGACACCAGGTTAAGTCTAATTCTAAACTGGTGCTGAGAATCACTAATCTAAAACCCTCCCACAGGCCAGGCATAGTAATGCATACCTGTAATCCCTGCATACAAGAAGCTGAGGCAAGAGGATCACCATGAGCCTGAACTACACAGCAAGACCCTTTCTCAATCAATCAGATGACCCCCTCCCACAAACCTGCAGATTAGCAGTGTGTTTGACTCCAGACCATCATTATCTTGAGTAGTTCTTTTAACTTACTTAAGAATCTTGCCAGCTTGGTTCTCATTATAGCTTCACAATTGACAAGGCAGGCAGGCAGTTCAGATACTATTATTAGCATTGGGCAGATGAGAAAGTGAGGCATAAAAATATGCAATTAGGCTGAGCATGGTGGCATGCACCTGTAATCGTAGCATTCTGGGAGGCTGAAGCAGAAGGATTTCAAGTTCCAGCCTAGCCTTGGCAATTTAAGGACTCGGTGAAACCTTGCTTTAAAAATTAAAAGAACAACAAAAATATTCAATGACCTGATCAAGGGTTCCCACCTAGTTACTCACAAAGACACATTATAACCTCACTCATCTGTTTCTGTCTTTGTCTCTCTCCTCATTCTGGGGATAGAACCCAGGGCCCCATGCCTTCTAGGCAAGCCCTTTGCCACTGAGTGACACCCCCAGTCCTCAGTCTTTTGACTACAAGCCCAAGTGTGACTTTCTCCCAAAACTCGTTGTCATGTTTCCTCCCTAACCCTGACCCAGTTTATTACTGGAAAACCAAAGATTATGTGATCAAATTCCAAAAATAAGCATAACAATGGCTTAAAGAGACTCAACTCAGGGTCAGTGGACCAAGATACCTTTTTCTGAAGTCCATCTTGCAGTAGTGAATGTGCCTACTTCTCACACACACCTCCGCCACCCTCACACCCCCTTTCAGAGACACATTATCCCAGAGACTGAAAACAGTAATGTAGTTTCCATTAGGATAGTCTTCTCTGAAAAGACCTTTTAAGAGATCAAACAGCCATAGAACTGCAAACAGTAAGGGGAATTTTCCTGATTAACTTTCCCCACTTCCTCTAAAAGACAAAGAACCTAAAATTCTTTTTAATTTAATATATATGAAATGCCAACCACGTGCCAAAAACCCCATCAACGATTATCTTAATTAAATCTTTAGGATAACTCAGTAAGGTAGGTACTGCTGCAGCCACCACCATAATCCCTATTTAACAAATAAACAACAGCAACAAACAAACAAAACCAGGACAATAAGCAAACTTGATCAAGATCCCAGGCATAATAAATTGAGACCTAGTGTTTACCTGTGATTCACAGCCTAAAACTCTGATTCTGTACCTTCTACCACCTTGGAGGGACAGTAATGCAAAAAGTGAAAGATTAACAAATCCTCATGAAAAAACCAACTAGGTGTTCAGCAAATACTTTTTTTCAAGGGATGGGAAAATGGCATCTGGGCCAGACCGTCCCCCAAAACCACAATTGCAGTAGGCATTCCAGCCTGGAATCCACACAGCTACTGGGGCAGAAAAGCAGCTGGGACACCACAATGTAAAGGGAGAGTAAAGAAACAGCAGAGAGAAGAGGTGGAAATAGAGACAGAGGCTGACTGCAAAGGGTCCTGAGTGCCTGGTGCAGCAATTTAGACTTCATAGGCAGTGTGACCCCCCCCCCACCGGGGAGGTTTTTTAAAGAGGCAAAGTCCTTAAAAATATGAACTGAATTTTGGAATATAAATTTAACAAAGGTGTCCTGATTGAATTAAGGGGTGCACGGCCTGAAGTGGAGGAGAGTAACTCCATCCCTAGCCACACGTGGGGCTTACATCCCCGCTCCCACCCCACACCACTAGAATCCGCAAGGCCCTTCCATACTTGCTTCACGATCCCTACAGGACTTGATCCCCACCTTCGACTTGAACTGCTATGTCGGGGTCAGATGACAGAGATCTGAACTTCAGCAGTGGGGACACAGACAAAAAGATTCGAGGTCATCTGCAAAAGTGCGTAAGGGTGGTAAGAAACAACAACAAAAAAGACTCCAGTGTTTCAAGTATAAAAGAATACAGACAGACATATAATGAGACATAGAAAGGAAGTGATGGAAATCCGACGCAAAGAGATGGAAGGGATGGCTTTGCCAAGGTCTCAATCCAGTAAGTATTTGTTAAGCAACTGCTATATGCCAGACATTAGGGGTACAATGAGTAAGATCAGCTCTGCCTGGAGTATCAATCACCCTAGGGCAGTGACAGCAAACCCTGTAGAGCTTTCAATGATACAAACAGCTCACTGCCACATACGTGCCATAGCTTTCCCACCACTGCCAGGGGAAGGGAAAGACAATATGTAGGGTAGCCAGACACCAGGCCTTTCACCCCAGTCTTAACTCACCGAGAAACGTAAAAAATATACACAAGCAAGAGATTGTGTGTCTTACAACTGAAAACGCCTCTAAAGTCTATTTATCTCCTCTGCTGAATGATTCTGCAGTGAAAGTCGAGGGTCACAAGTACTTGCTGGCACACTTCATCCCCTCACCACTCAAACAGCAGATACTTTATCATAGAAGTCTCAGGACAAAAGTCTCCGGAGGTTCACACAGCCCCCTTTATCTCAAGCATCCTTCTCATCACATGACTTTTATGTCTTCACTGCTTTAATACCTGAAATTTACTTATGCAGGCAAGGATATAGTCTGTTTCCAGCGGGAGGAGGGAAGCTCCATAGAAGCAGGAACTTAATCTGCTTATTGCTGGCAGCCACGCAGCAAGCCCTTGGGGAGGAAACATTTACCGAATACAGTACATGGGGTGGGAGGGTTAAGCCTCATCAAGATAAAGACCTCAAACCAAGTAGGTTTCCTGTTAACATACTGAGAATTGAAGAGTTTGAAGAGCAAAGTCATTTTCGAGGCAGGGGTCTGAACCAAAATCCTGGGACTCAGACCGGATCGCTGCATGGTCAGTTTTGATTAAATTACGGGAGTATCCACCCAGTGTGAGATATTTGACAATGAGGCCAGCCAGCTGCCAGCTCAGGTTTTATTTCCGTTGTCCTTCTGACGTCAGAAAAAGCACGAGTTGCTGCACAGTTTTTTCTATCAAGGTGACAAATTACAGCTTCACTGGGCCCTGCATTCTGCAAACATTCTCCCCTCCCCCTCATATTTAAAAAAATGTAATAAATACTGCAGAAATGTCAAATTCCCTTCCAAATGCACCCCGTTTCCTATAGGTGGGGTTTTCAACTCTTACTATGTACATCACCATAGGTTTGTCTGAGAAAGTACGCGACCCAGCAGCACTTTGGTTTTCACCGAAGAAACAGGCTGGTAAAAACCCTGGGTCGCCCGCCGCCGCAGAGCGAGACACAAAGGACTCTAAGTGTAGCACCACCTTCCCCGGCCGAAGGCAGCCTGTGAAAGGCAACCGGGACGGCGCGAAGAGGTTACCGCGAAATTCCTTTTGCAGCCATAAGCACTAGTGCCTTTGGTGACTACAGCTCGGTAGGAACCCGGACAAGCGACCCGGCAAGTAAAAGGCGCCCGTAAAGCCCAGAAACCTGCAAGATTAAGGTGGGCGCAGAGGAACCCGACGCTCAGGGAGTGGGGGATGATTACTGGGGGGTGAGGGCGGGGCGCAACAAGACCCAAGGCGCATTTCCCTCGCGGCGGGAGCCGGCCAGTTTAGAAGCCTTTTGTGGCAACGTTTAGGGACGCGAGCGAGTGAGATGCTGCGGGGGTGGGGGGTGAGATTGGAGGGGGGCGCGATCCGCGCCTACAAGCAGTGGCCTTTTGTTCGCCAGCTCCAGCAGATCCGGCTCTCAGAAAACCACTTTGGCCCTGACTTCATTTTAGAAAGAACCTCTCCAAGGCGAGAAAGGGCAGTGAGTCACCACCGCCAGCATCCTTTAGCAACCCCCTCCCCCGTCTTTGCCTGCCCCCCTCGTTACCGACAGAGGGGCAGCTCGGGGCAAGGCCAGCGTGCTCCTGTTTCCTCGTGCTCCCCGGCTTTGGCCGCCGACCTGGCCCATTCCCGAGACCCCGCCGGCAGCGCTTGGCAGCCAGGGGCACCAGGCCCCCTACTCCCGGCCCTGCGCACTCCGGAAACTCCAAGTGGGGGCCTGCACCCTCTTCGGGTACGCTGCCGCATGCCCTCCGTACCCGCGTGTTCCCTGACCCTCGAGAAATGTAACCAGATCTGGTGCCACACTTTGGCACCATGAAAACATTAAAAACCAAAAAAAAAGTAAGCCACAGCCCACACCAAGGTGCAACCAGGGGCCCCTGCGCCTCCTCGCGCTGCGCGCGTTCGGGGAAGAACGGAGGACCTGGACTTTTCCTTTCCCAGAAGCAGTATCTGAGGGCATCCGACGCAGCCGGTCCCTCCTTCCACGCCGCCTAGTTACTGCCCCTCTCACCACTACAACTTCCCGTCTCTCCCGGCAGCCGAGAAATCACCTTGCCTTGGGAAATAAAGGGAAAGGTGGCAAAAGACGACGTCAAAGTGTCCGTCCCCGGAACGCTGCAGTTTGCTGTCCTTGGTGTCAAGGTCTGAAAGCCTCAGCTGGGAAAAGGTGGCCTCCGGCCGCGAGGAAGGTGCGGGAGGCTCGGCGTGGCGCGGCAGATTTCCTAGGAAGGTGAAGGGCGGAGGTTCGCGGCGACCTTCAGGCGGCGTGGAGTGGCCGCCTCAGCTCTCCTCCTTTCCCGGCCGATTGCATCATCAGAATCTCCCCCCCCCGCACCAACCCCC